TGGATTTGGTGGTGGGAAAGGAGGTGGTGGACATGGGGGAGGTGGCGGTGGATATGGTGGTGGTGGTGTCATCGGTGGAGGTGGATTTGGTGGTGGAAAAGGAGGTGGTGGACATGGGGGAGGTGGCGGTGGATACGGTGGTGGTGGTGGAGCTATAGGTGGAGGTGGATTTGGTGGTGGCAAAGGAAGTGGTGGTGGATATGGCGGTGGTGGTGGTGGGGCCATTGGCGGAGGTGGAAAAGGAGGCTTCGGTGGGGGCGGAGGTGGTGGAGGATACGGAGGAGGGGGCAGTGGTGGCGGTGGTGGTGGATACGGCGGTGGAAGTCAAATGATGGGTGAGCTTTAGAAAAATCGATTCATAGAAAAAATTCATATAAGACTACAATTGGATCTATTTACATATTATTTCTGTATAATGATAATATTATCATATGACCGCCATGTCAAATGCTGTTTATATTATTGGTCGTCATAGCAGCTCCAGTAATGCATTTTCTAGCCTGGTTGGAATAATTAAATTTTTCAAAGTATTTAATTTATTTAAGTATTTAAGTAAATTTAATTATTCCCAGTCTCCTCGCATATCAAAATTTAAGTTTCGTCAGTCAAACTTCTAGTGTATGTTTCGTGCAGATTGCAGATAAATGTTCAATTCTTGTATATCAGCACTTATTATGGTCTGTTGAAATTTGAATTAAAAAATTATTTCTGATCGAGGGATGTCCTTAATAGGATGAATATATATAGACAGACATTCATATTATTCAACAATTATCGGAAGGTAAACCAAGTAGTTAGCACTTAGACTATATAATATAAGGTCTTAACATGACGGCTTAATTAATTTTATTGTTAATCATGTTTTTTCCAGGGTACTGAAAAGAACAAAGGATCTCATCGAACTCAGTAACATCCATCGCACGCAACATCGTCAGAAAAAATCTATAATAACGAAACAAATTATGCAAATTCATCAATATTTCAACATAATTTTCAGATGAAGTTGATTTCATCTTCCAATACTTTAAATGCATTCACTATTTAATAGAATATGTAACGTTTTTGTAGTATTAATAATTTCAACTATCATCACTGCGTTTGACATGCACCATCTGCATCCAATACTGTAATGAATGAAAACTCGAGTTATGATTTTATAACCGTTCCACACTATAAACTAGAAAATGATTCTGGAAAGAAATAGAATATAATTTTTCAACTTGTTCGGATTCGTTTCGATAATTATTTTCTGCTGCTGATCATCACTATTTTAATGTTTACACTCATCAAAACTATTTCATTCAGATTAGTAACAGATTCAAGCGAGTATTATCATATTCCGTGCAAGCGAAACATACATTCATTAATGGAACATAGTATTTACATTCATTCCCCTTCCTAACACTTTTTTTACTTTTAGACAAGAAGTCACACTTTTCATTTTATCACTTTTTTCACGGTCACAAATTTCTTACTCTGCTTTTCATTTCACTGATAAATCCGTTTGAAAGCATAGAATTATTTATTGTAGAAATTTTCTTCATGCATTTCTGTATAACTGAAATAGTATTTATTCGAGCTCTTGTTGTAACTTTGATCGAGCTCCAACTGAGCAATTTACGTAGATATCTCTCATGCAATAGTGAAACTACTCAATTTTAACAGTGTAACTGTGAAATAAAATTCGTCAAATTGTTCAGTTTGTAATTGTAGTGAAACAATCCATTTCGTGAATGCAATAAATAACGAAGGCCCTTCGATCTCCGCCGCTTCTGTAAGGGCTCAGAGAAACCTAATTCAACTTTTGTCGATAGTTGCGTTAGTTTTATTCGAGTTTTAATAAGTACTGGTATATTTATTTGTAAAGTATACACTAATCATTATAATCATGACTATCATTTAAGACTGAGACACGATCATGGCATGTAAATAAATTCGGTGTGAGTAAACTTTTGTGAATTTTTCCCTTTAAGAACAGGCCGACCAATGGTAATTCAAATTGGAAATATATATAGTTATGACGGGAAAGATAAGCCAAATTATGCATAAAAGTCAAGATTATCTATCCACGTCAATAGATTTAATTTACTGGCATCGTGGAGCACAATACAGAACAAATAGTGGATTTTCCTAATTTTTCATCTGCACTTTACTACACAAATCAGATGCAAAATCCTACCAGAAATGGAATAAAATTTAAAATAATTTTGATCTGAAGACTGACATAGATTGTTTATCATTTACAATGCCTTAAGGACTTAAAAATTTGAATCGTAGAAAATTCCACCAATACAATCGTTCATTTGCAGTTTTCGAGGAGATGTACGCAGAGATATTCTGGTAGGATTTTGCATCTGATTTGTGTAGTAAAGTACAGATGAAAAACTAGGAAAATCCACTGTTTAATCGCGGCAGTTTGTTCAGCAATCCAGTTGAGGGAGACGACTGAACCATGCAAGGCCGGAGTGAGAGCTCTAGTATAGCTATGTTAAAATAATGTGAACTGATAATAGCACAAACTCAGTTAAATGATCGCAAACGACACAAGAAAATATCAAAATTTAAAAGATCAGTCGACCTATGATAACTAGTTTATACCATGTAAAAAGTCGTCATTTCCCAATAAACAACTGATTTTTGATCAAATATAATTACAGTAGCTGTTGCTCCACCAAATCTGAGTCCATATCACAAGTTTTTTCTCCCTCCATAAACTGTACAATATTCATCCAGATCAACATTAATCCCAAGTTTTATCCTACGCCATATTGTCCTATGCTCTACAAACCTTGGCTTATGCATTGAAGGTTGTCGCTGAGTACTGAGCTCATGTGTTTTTAATCAGTGTCCGAGTAGGACAAAAGTGAGTGGAATTCAACAATATTGCTCAACCGCATAACACATTGCTGTTATTAGAACACGTTCACTACACCGCATGAGCTCGCTGCTCTTGTAGTGATTATTCTGAAAATCCGTTTTGCAGCGGTAGTTACATTATTTAATGAAAAAATCAATTCTATTATTGAAATAATCAGCTTTATTCCATCACTGCGAATAGTCTGATATTAAATACAATTAATTAGAAAGTGGATGCATTTAGTCTACATCAATTACACATGAAGAATAAGTTAGGTCACATGATTGATTGATACAAAAATATGGGGCAGCTCCCTAAAGCCAATTAATGATAATTATAACCTTGTAATAACGTATTTGTCTTACGTTATTACAAGGTTATAATTATCATTAATTGGCTTATCCTTTGACCAAATTTTATCCTTTGACCAAATACAACGAAAAGACGGATTTTTTTTAGAATAGATTGTCATAAAAATAAAAAATAAAGATCATAGAGAGATAATCTTTGTCAGGAAGTGTTATTGAATGGCGGCCAATATTCTGCTTCAGAATTATGAATGTTTTGTCAAATTACACGAGGAACCCGAAGTGAGTGACAGAATGATTAATGCCTGTATGATTAACCTTAGTTTTGAATGATTATTTGGTTACCCATTATTACATTTAATAACAATATCCCGAACGACATTTAACACTTCATTTTCAAACCAGTCCCCTCATAATTTTTTATTTATATTATATTTAAATTTTTATAACACATCCATTTTGAATTCATCACTCTCATTCATCAGCTCAAGAGAATGACTCTACTAATAGAGAGAGGTGAAGACATGGGAAAGCATTCGTGAATGTCGAGGTTTGCGTTCCCTCTTAATCTCGCTATCAGTGCCACCCATCGCCGCACTGGGCAAGTGGGCGATGTCATAGCAGAATAAAAATAGAATCAAGCTAATCGAATAAAAAATAATATTCTCAGCTACGGCATTAAAAAAACAACGCTTCAAATTAAAATATATTTAGAACTTTGCCACGATTTCCAATAAATCCCCGGAAATAAATAAATTCCAATAAATTACGCGGTAAAATTGTGTCAGAAATTCTGTGGTATCCAGTTTCAAGCAAATTTCAAAATAGTAGAATAAACGTGTAACACAACGATCTAAACTAATATTCATCGATTTGAATGTACCGAGAATATATTACAAGAAGTATTCTGATCGTCAGATTTCTGATCGTGATCAACAGCGTCCATGTGCCTTTCTTTGCTGTAACGCCATGAAGGGCTGGAAATCGGCTTCGTTAATATTAACACCTTTCTACATGCTTATTTAAAGAAATTTTCCTTGAGAAAGCTAGCCAATTGCGATAGTTCATTTCCATACACCATAAATTCCATACTTCCATAAATTCTCACGTGGCTTGTTTTGATATGAGCCCTTTTAACTGTTATATTCTGGATCGAGTGACCGTATGGCCTGGTGTACGATATAAGAGTCATCAACGTGAGCTGCAGTACATCCTCAATTTGACACATGATACTGAATATCTTAATGCACACCTGTTACATTAAACAGAAGATAACTGCGACGCTGTGAACGTTCCGATGCAGGTTTTGCACGCTTGGCCGCATGTGTTATTTGTCCAATAGCAATACAAACTTCAAAAATGATTCTCCCACCAACAAACTTTAGTACATACTGAATTTGACCAATGATACTAAATATCTTAATGCACATCTTTTCTATTAAAAAGATGATAACTGTGACGCCACGCATGGCTTCATTCGTACCGTTCCGCCTCCAGATGACGCTCGGGAAAAACATCGGCAGATGGCACGGGTCGCGTTGAACTCTTGTTCGGAGTTCGGAGCAGTAAGCGATGAAAGCTTCCTTTCACTTTCACTAAAAGGTTATAATTAAACGACCAAGAGGCCTTGAAGGCTGTTCTTCATATTGGAACCCTCGACCTTACAGCCTCGTGGACTGTATTTCAGCCTGAACAAATTTCAAACCAGAGTTCAACCGATGATGAATGTTCTGATTAATGTTTCGTCGCGAATTTGTTAGAGAACGGAACATTCTGAAGTTTAGGTTTTATTCAGCTTTTCCCAAATCTTCGTTAAAAATTGTGTAAAGAAAACTCAATAGAAGTGGGAATCTTAATTCTAATATGGCTTGTACCTCTGTTGTTCCCGTCTGCACATTTTACAATAAAATCAAACAAAAGTGTCAGGTATGGGTGAGTTAGAGCAAAATATCATTAACGCATAAAGTTCTTATGCTGCAAATTATCAATTTATAATATCTGCAGTTCTTGAAACAGATAGTCGAAAGAAGCTTTGCAGCACTGATAAATAAATATTTTTCAAAATAATTTTCGTATCACTATTCCTTACCGCGTGTAAGAAGAACTTACGTGACATCGACGAATGCAATTAAATGCCGATGCTCGAGGTGCTACCAAACGTACGCTTCACACCGGAACACTTTGTGGCTACACTTGAATGCAGTCGTGATCACTCGAAGCAAAGCACTTACAAAATTATCCTTGATCACTAAAATAAGGTTTCCTCGATAAATTTATTTCCTGATGCGTCATCGATAATAGATCAGCGTGACAACGCAGTTTCCTTTAACGGAATACTTAGTTATATATATGTCGACTTCCTTGATTGTTTTACACGACATCGTTCAGCAACTCAGGTTCCGTATCGAGATTTATTCGATGGATTATTTAAATACCATTGTTTCCATTGTATTTTTTCGTTAACATGAAATAAATACACTTATTTAAATACTATTAACCCTAAATTTAACTGCTTTAATTGTTTGAAATTTGAATTTGAGAGATTTATAGGTTGAATAGCGTCTTTCACAGCATGCGGCAGTTTTCATATTCGTGGTAAAGGCTAAAATTATTTTCATGACGAGGCAGTCACGAATATCAGCTCAGTTCGAGCTATGCAACGATGCTCTACCTTAAATGCATCACTCGAACTTAAATAATCTGGATGTTTAGATAGACCAGTAAACGGGAAATGATTCTTCAACAAAGTATAGACGGGAAATGATTCTTCAACAAAGTTTATCTAGATAATTAATTAATACGTAATTAATTAATAAAATCATGAAATTATAATTACGTGATGTGATTGTGTACTTGGGCTACTTTTAGAATAAATTTAAAATATGAATTCTATTATATCTGTTCCTCGTTCCAGTACTCGAGTACACTGCACTGCCTACACGTGCTCAGGGTATAGCGACTCAGGGTATGTCACTGCACACGAACTGCTGAAATATCTCGACATTACAATATTTTGTATTAATTGTTAGCCTCATTGAAAAAAGCGCCAATAATAGTTTTCTATTTTTTAACCTTGTTGTGTTCTTAATCTTGCGTGAAAATAGCTTATTCCATCAAAGTAATACAGACTAACTGATCATGCTCAACTGTTTCTCGGGAACCTTCCGCAAATGACCTGGACATAAATACTCGTTTCCAAGAAAAATATTCTTTAGCTTCAAGTTTATACGTGATTAAAATCGTTAAGATTACCAACACTTATTTCAAGGACTTGTCTTAAGATGTTCAAATCCTAGAGCGACCTCGCCAGCGAACCACGGAAGCCACTCTCTGATCATTTCGACGTCTCATTCCTGTCAAAATATCTTTAGTTTCTAAATGGACAAATAGCAGTGAAACTGCCAAATCATTGCTAGGGAAATCCACCCTGAACCAAGGAGTGAAATTTACCCTGAACCAAAGAGCAATTACCCTGACTGACGCTACTGAACTTGCAGCTCTCCCCGCGCGAAGGCTTCACGGTCGGCGATGGATCGACATGAACTTAATTCAAGGAGTCGTGAAAATACTTTCCATGCCGTGCACAGATGTCACTATTCATTGTCACATACACACTCATAAAAGTGAATGGGACACATTTTTGAAAGATTGATACACTTTATTACCCACGATACAAGCAGATCGACAGACGGTGCACTGCCACGCTATGATCCCGGGCCAACCTGGGTCAGGTTGACTCAAATAAGGGCAAGAAGTTGATCACTATTTGAACAAAGTCTCTCTC